TTGCAGTTCTTTTGATCTCTGAAGTGGAGAGGCTGAGTATTAATACTGGTTAGTTCATGTTAGTCCCATACAGAATTGATCAATGTGCCTTCTATACCTTTAATTCTTTGTCAGGTCTTTATTTTGGTATGTGGTATGGACTTCTGCGTAGCGTAATCCTTGAGAATGCCATTCTCGTTGGTTATCTTCCAAACCTGGCCCCCAAGTGAACAAACCTACGTAACTCTCTATTGCATAGGGAGCTGGTTAACTTCTAAAATAGATAATAATGTTCTACCTGACTTGGAAAGTCTGAGCTCTGTTTAGTGAAAATATGCAGAGAAGCTTAGTCAGCCCTTTCCAGAATTCCAGCAATAGCTGTAGGCTTTGGGGTTACAGGTAACTTGAAAATAAATACATGTTGTTGAACTCTGAATGGAAAAAAAAGTAGTCTGTCAAGAAATGGCACTTATTCCTTAGGAGTGAAAATTTTTCTTTATGAAAAAACTGATGACAAGATTCCCTAGATGCATGAGGAGTTGTATGACGGCTATTCTGAGTAGCCCCACAAGTTTCAGTTGGGCTGTTGATCCACCAGATGCTAGAACTGTGTTAACTTCTCTTGTGGCATAAGAACGTTTTGGACTTCTGGCACAACCAGGTATACTCTAAACTTTTATACGTGGGCCACCTTTTTCTTTAAAGGAGTCTAGAACTGCTTTCCAAAAAACCAGAAATGCGTTATTCAAAAAAAGCATCTAACTTAACTACGTAGTTAGGATTTTCCAGTTATTGCATACCTTTAAGATTGGATGGTATGGTTCCAAAAGAGACAGTGAAGTAGCTTTACTGCTCACTGCAGCTGAAAGAAGTCTGCTCCCATCGCTAAGCTTAGGCCAGACCTGATGCTCATCAGACTCTTCCAGAAGCCATTTAAACTCACTAATATGGCTATGTTATTGAGTTAAAGCAGCTCACAGAAGAGTCTGACAAGTTCCAGAGCCAGTGTGAGGGATAGATGTGACTGGGAGCAGAGGAGGGAAAGGGAAGAGTAAATGAGCAGGGGCGGGGAGAAAGGAGAGAGAGGCATGATGATTGAGACCTCTTCTTTTCAGTGTAAGCCAGCTATTTAGCTGCCTGTCAAGTTGCAAACGTACAATTTAGAAACCTGGAAATACGTTCTGTCTCATGCTGTAACATTAACTGTGTCAAATACCCCTTTTCTTAACAGTGCTTTAACATGCCTATAACATAAACGCTGACAGTCTAGCCTTTCAGATAACTGCAAGAGATCAAGGCGGTAATGCACATCAAAAGTTCACAGGATAAAAACAAATCTTAGATTTAGGTCAAGCATTGCTGCCTATGCTTGATTTATGTGAGGTAGGCCAGAGTTTATCCAGACTAACCCCTCTCCAGCCTAGCAGTATCTCTGAAAAGAGCAGGCTGTGCAACAATAATTTACAGAAATCGAGAGATAAGAAATACTTGATGTCTCAGAGTTTGTGTCCTCCTCTCTTCGAATCAGTGTCAGGTCTTCATTCTGCTCTAGCAGATCCTTCTACCATTGAATGCAGCTATATATAACACAGTAAGTGTAGCAGGAGTATAGAGATACATGCTAACCTTCACACTTTAGAATATGATGCAGCTATGGCATGTTCCTTGTCATTCTTCTGTATTTCAGTTTGTCAGGGAATTATGTAGAAGTGTAGAGAATTATGTAGAAGTGTAGGATTGACCACGAGGTTCAATTTAGTGTAGAGATGGTTGCATTTTGGGGTAGTTCTTTTCTATTCCCCAGCGTCATTGTCCTCCAAGCCTTTAAAAAGGCTGTATGTGGACTGCTTTAGGGGGCTTTCAGAATAAAATTTTATGGTTGTTTCTCTGGCTTCTGCATCTCCATGGAGTAGCATTTTCAGGAAAAAGTAGAACTCTTCCAACAACATACGGTGAGTCAGGGACAGGCTGCTAATGGAATTCAGGTTTTGTTTTGTGTTTTCATTTCCAAATAACCCTGATGACAGGCTGCTATTTCACTGCAGCATCCACTGTCTACCCTGACGTTGACTTGTATGGTCCTCAAGGTATTTATGGTATTTGAAGAAAAGGGCTTGTCTTAAACTTCAGCTTTATGGTGTAAGTCTTAATGTTAAGTTGAAAATGGTTTAAAAAGTCATGCCACAGTTGTTATGCTACTAAAGCTGAGAGTCTCTGATGTTGATGCAATTATAGTGGTGTAGTTTATTTTATTCATAGAACTGGAATAAACTATTGCAGTATGATTTTTTATTTTGATGTAGAGTTGTCTAGCTTCAGTTGTACTGGGATAGCTAAAGTAAAACATAGTCCAAGACAAGGCCTGAACAGTCAAGTACTCCATCCGACAAGTGAAATTTCCCCAAACACTTGGTGGTTTCCATGGTACCTCTCAGCATTCCTGGGATAAATGCGCTATATGTCAAGTAGAGATTTAGCATGAAGGCAGGTAGCGATGATAAAGCAGAACTAGCTTTCTGTTACTTTATTTAAGATGGTTGAACTTAGTTTTTCTCTCTTGTAAATGTCTTTATTTTATGATTCCCCTTAAGTATGGATGTATGCATAGAAGAAAACAACTTTTTTCAATTTTCCTTTAAATGATACAAATAAGACTGATTAATGGGCAGGTTTTCCTTTTGAGAAAACATGTCTAGTTGAGAGAGTTCAAATTGCTAATGAAATGGAACAGTTATGTGTGGTTGGAGGGGTGCAGTCTCTGTTGCTCTAGTGTCTAAATGGAAGTGACTTACAGGGTTTTCTCTTGATATTCTGGGGAAGGCAATAAGTTATTTCATTATTTCTTCTGAATTCCTATTACTTGCTTTTAACCTTAGTTTGTAACTGGTACTAGGAGTAGGCAAATGAAGCCGCCTTGTTCTTGAAACATCTAGGTAGATTTTTGCTCAGTGAAGCTTCAGTTTATTGACAATCAAGTAAATACACTGTGCCAGTTACCCTTCATTACTGGACTTTTGTAATTTGGGGTATAACTAGGTGTTTGGCCAGGGGAAAAATAAAAGTAGGCTTGACTCCCCTTTGAGGACGGCTATCAGAGCCTATGCTGGTTCCTTAAATTAGGCTTTTTGGATTTTTATCCTCAGCGTGTCATTGTGTTATTGCTTTGTTGCTATGATACAATACTTACTCATGCAATCCGTTGTAGAATGTTAGAAGATGTGAGTTAAGATGTTATGTAACTTACGAATGTTTTTACAGCTGCTGTTCATTATTTGCAGGGTGTAACAATTCATGTCTTCGGTATGGTGCAATTTGTAGTTATCTGAGTGAAATAAGCACTTTACAAGATTTTTATTCAAAAGAAAAGTGGTTAAAATTGCAGAATTAACATTCAGTAGTATGAATTGCTCTTTATGAGGGAGTAGTAATTGCTAGCCTTTTCAAAAGCTCGCTGAAGTTCTTGTGATAAGTTAATAATAGGATCGTAATTGTCAGATGGCAAAAGGGAATGAATACAAATATTCTGATGTTCAAACTTTCAGGGCAGAGTGAGCAGTTAGGATTGCAGTGGAGATGTTTCAGGCCATTTTAGCAATTATTTTTTGCTTATGTGGATACTGAAGAGGTCTAGCAAGTAATTACTGCATATTAAAACCACTGTAGACTGTTCCAGCCACTAAATGGAAGATATTTTGGTAAGAAACTTGAGGAACTGGCATTATCAAAGAGTGGCTGGGTTGTTAGAACTTGCACATTAATGTGAACTTATTTCATCAGACTAATCCTAAAACAGCAAAGAGAAGCGTGGGATCTGTTGGTGTTCAGAGTTAAAACTGAGACTTAAGATCTTCAGTATTGTCTGGCCAATTTCCTTATGATAAAGCAGCAGTAATAATATGAATGCTGGAATGAATGACAGAAGTTAAGAGATGAGGTTGAAAGAGCCTGGCTATAGACAGGTCTGGAAGTTCTTCACTGGGAAAGCATGCCTAGTCCTACTTAAAATTGGATATAAAAATTTTTTCACCAGAGCAAGGTGGTATCCCAACTGACTGATAGATGAGATTATGTTATCTTGCCGGAGTGGTTTAGAACCACCCCGATAGGCAACACAAAACAAAAAGGAAGGGCACTTGGGCTCTCTGAGTTCAGACTACATAGTTATGGCATTAAACCGATTTCTCAGGTAAAACCACATCTGCTTTTATTGGGATCCTGCATCTTTTGAACAGTTATGGTTTGAATAGGTGTATTCTAAAGATATATTACATTTTTGTAATAATCCATCTGTTGTAGATCTAATGTGAAATGCTAATGGAGGAATCTAGTTTATCAGATTTAAGAGAGACTATACTTTAAAATAGAAATGCCAAGTTAAAACGTTTTTGCTTAATAGATCAAAAAAGTTGGACAACTCTACAAGACTAAGATCATAACACGTTATCTCGACCAAGGCATGAAAATTCAGGATTAATCCTTTTGAAATATTGAAGTTGATTCTTGAGAGAAACAAACGTTCATCACATGGTGTCAAAAGCATGCAAAGTATTTTGCATTGGGGTAAAAAGACAAGGTTTCTTCCAAGCAGACTTTGCAGCTTTTAAGCAGGTTATATAATAAAGTATTAGGGAACGGAATGAGATAAATTGCACGAATGAAAGGTTAGGATGATGCACTGTTTCTGTATATGACTTTTTTAATTAGAGTGAGTTGGTACTTATTGCACATCTACATATTTTACCTAAAGTTAATTCACTTGCTTGTTTTCTATTAAAAAAATTTACTGCCATATATTTATTCAGAATTGAATGCTGGGTCTTTTATTCTAATATACCTAAACAGGCATTTATTTTCATTTGTGACAGTATAGCTTGCTAACTTGCCTGTCATATGAAATGCCATTCCTCGTATTAAAAATGTGATAATAGGTTATGCAAATTCTAGCCAACAGAACAGATTTAGAAACTGCAATTTTATTTCTGTAAACTTAAGTGACTCTCTTTTCCCCTCCATTTATAGATGCCACCTCCAATGAACAGCAAGATCTCTTTTGTCAGAAGTTGCAGCAGTGTTGCGTACTCTTTGACTTCATGGACTCTGTTTCAGACCTGAAAAGCAAAGAAATTAAGAGAGCAACACTGAATGAACTGGTTGAATATGTCTCAACAAATCGTGGAGTGATTGTTGAATCAGCTTATGCTGACATAGTAAAAATGGTAAGTAGAATCTGGAATTCAATGTTCTTGAGTATTCAAGTTTGAATAAAAGAACTAAATCAGTGTACGGTTGTGATAGCATCTAACTCGGCATTGCTGTGGGTAAATCTGCTTATAAAAGGTAGCATTATACATTAATAGTAACTTGGCCTATAGGATTGTTTAGAAAGGCTTGTAAAATAAATAAATACTTTTAAGTCTAATTATTAGCTGGAATGCAATGCATGCAGGGTAATGCAAATTAAAGAACTGGTATGCTGCAGACACTTGCATTCTGGATAAGCTTTGAAGTCATACTCATTCAGAAAATGGAAATAGTTCAGTGCTGCCTGTCTTTGTTTATTTGAGAATGGTAGTGGAATGAGGGGCTGAAGTTCTCTGGAAAAGATGCATGGGATACTACTGTCAACAGAAAGGTTTATCAGTGTAAGACACTGACTCTACTTTGTAAATACTTTACATGGCTTTTTGTCACTGTTTGGGCCTTTGAGCACTGTGCTTGAGTAGCGTAAGTGGTTTGCTCAAGTTGTAAACCACAGGGTGAGTTGTGCTGTACAATTTCTTCAAATGACTTTTTGAATAAGCACCAAAGTATTTGTGGTTGTTATCTGCTGACTTTCATTGGCTTTTGTTATGCGTTCTCGAATGTTACCTAAGTGATGTTTTATATATACACCTTTATTCCGGGTGCAGGAATCTAACCCAAGGACTTCTTAAACAACTTAGAGAATATTGTTCACACTGACTTGTCTGTAGGAGTTGAAAGGTTAAAAACAATGCGTTTAGGGCTCTTGCATGTAGGCAAAAGGTTCTCTGAAGTTTGATTTGGTATACATGCATACAACTGCTGACGTTAAAATTAGCTGTTGGGTATGTAGGCAGACCAGTTTCAGTCATGTGGCCTGCAGCTCTTTTACAGTGATAGTTTTCTTTATAGTGGAATCTGATGTAGTTGTGAGCAGCTGATAGGGAAGCTCTTATCTTTGCTATCAATAAGTGTGGAATTTTAACGTTACACCGAAAGGCTAGGGTTATTGGAAAACCTTTAATTATTTATTGTGGCTTTGCCACTTGTAACAAGCTTTACAAAAAATCTAGGGCACACTCTGTTTTTAAAAGGAGCTGTGTGTTTTGTTGTGAGTGTCCCTTACTCAGAAACAGAAAGGACAGAGTGCATCCACCTATTCCTTGTTTGGTTGGGGGTTTTGGGTTGTTTGTTTTGTTTTGTTTGTTTGTTTTTTCCTTCCCCACCTCCACTGCTGGTGGCAGCATGCCTGAATCCTTGCAAGTCGTCTCTTACTCTGTGTCCTCTGCAGCCTCTTTTTGGAAAGAGTATATTATCATACTTCTTGAAGGGAGAAGAGGTCTTCTTTTATGTTGAAGTTACTTCCCCTTGTTGGAGCTAAGGTGTTGTGCTGTTCTTTTGAGGTGACTGTTGTGCAAGCGATGAGGCTCTGTGGATGCTTTTTTTTTTTTTTTTTCCTCCATCAGATTTCCATCTCCTTTACTCCCCTAAAATAACAGAAAGCTAAGAAGGCCTTAAATGCTCAGTGAGAGCTTTTTCAGAGCTTGAGACAAAAGATCTCTCCAAGCCTGAATAGTATTTCTAGTCTCCCTGGCAACTGGCAGCAGACAAGATCTTTGCTCTGAATTGGGACTAAGTACCAGCCTTCAGGAAGTGCTCTGGATGGTTCTCTCCCTCCAAACAACCTGTGTCAGACTTGAGGATTTTCTTTGTAGCAAAACCTCATGAGACTTAAGTGTTTGTGGGGGGGTTTTTTTGGCCTTTTTTTTCCTTAATTGTTGCTACGTTAAAAGAAAAAGCATGTCAGTTTTCTGCAGAGTTTGAAAGATAGCGTATTGGAGGGGGAAAAAAGAAAAATCAACTTTAGTGAAACTGAACTCCCCTTTGACTTGTAGTCAAAGTTGAACAGGTTACATGGAAGTTCCCTTACAAAAGCCAGAGCAGAATCAGCGGCAGAAACGGAGCTAATTTCTTTCCAAAGCCCCTTGTCTTTCCCTAGGCTTGGGACCCCTTTCCTTCAGCTTGCAGAGGAAGGAGCACATTTTCATTGGCGTCGCCTGAGTCTTGGGGAGGCAAAGTCAACAATCCCTTACAGATACCAAGAGGAAAAATATTGTTGCTCCTGACCAGTGCATAGGCAAGGTCTGTGCAGGTGAGGTCTCTTAGCATTCCTTCCCTTCACATGGTCTCTGTAACCATGACAGCTGCTGAGCTGATACTGTACAATCATGTCTAGTGTAATTGTCCCTACTTTGCTTGGATCCTACTTTACTTGGATTGCAAGTAGGAAGCACTGGTTGAAATGATAAAAGTACCTTTCCAGGCACCAAGGATGGAACAAGGTCGTAAAGAATACCTTTTCATTTAGGAGATGTGCAGGATACATGTTGTAGGCTGTGTTGTTGTTGTTGTTGTTTTGTTTTTTGTTTGTCCCAAGCAACTTGATTGTCCTATAATTCTTTTGTCAAAATATTTCAGCTAGGAAGTAGGGAGGAGTTTTGCTTACAAATAGTTTTTGAAGGGATAGCACCACGGTCCATGCACCTCCTCTCTAGGTCATCTAAAATTAGTATCTATTCAGTGTGTAAATTCTCAATTGGAAGTTCTCTGAGGCTAACAGTAAATTAGGGTTTGGCATTACGAATATTTACTTTTATAAAAACTGCCTGGGAAGTTAGGAAGCTTTAGCCTTTATCAGGTTTGAGAGCATAACAAATGTTCCTCCAGTATACCTTACTTGTCCATCTCCTTGTGCTGCCAACCTCCTCTAATTTCCAACCATCATATAAGATCCAATGTAAATGATTTTCTTAGCAGTTTGCACAAGCTGTGGAATTCTGAACTTCGAAAGACTTATCCGCAGGTGTCCATATCTGCATACTAAGAAATTGGAATTGAATCTGGTATCTCTCCAAATGTTTAGTTCCTTCAAAAGTGTACAAATTAGGAGCAATTCTCTCTTTAAAATGAAACAAAACCTTCCCTAAAGATGTACATCAATATGCTAACTGCTTTTCCAATGGTTCAGCCTAGAAATTGCGCATTTTAAGAAGTTACTTTCTCCAAACTTTGAGGTTTAGAAAACTAATGCTGGGTTACTTTGTAAAACTGTGCATTTATAAAAGCCTTTTATGACTTGTATTTTTTAAATCACTGTTCTGAGGCAAGATCCCACTTATAAATGAAAAGGGATGTTTTAAACAGTAGGAGAGGCTATTGCAAAAGAATTAGCCTGTAGAACAATAGTGGGGTTTTTAACCCCCCAAAAATTTTCAAAAAATGCTGTTAGCCAGATGTTACTAGAAGCAGATGAGACAGGGAGTAAAATTATTTCAAACATAATGAAGTAATTGAACCAGTTCTTCAGGGAGACTGGCTAATACAAAAAAAATGGTATACAGTTTGTTCCAAATTTCAGATTCCTAAGGAGGCAGATGGTGCTAGTGGAAGTACTGAATACCCTGAAAAATCATAAGGCTAGCTTCCTAAAGCTCTGGCAGAGGGCTGGTGTTCATTTTTGGCTACGGAAGTATGCTCAGTAGTTAGTACCTTTGTTTTGGACTTGAAATTTTTACATCCCGGAGGAAAACTTGTTCGATTAGGTTCTGTGCTAAAGAGTTGACTAGTTCAGTAGGATGTATCTAGAAATAAAAGGACACATTTTCAGGAAATACTAGCAGAAGACACAAAAGCGGAGGTAGGGGGCCCCTAGGGAAGTCTCAGTAGGGGACTAATTTGAATCCTGGTGTTTATCATGGATGTTTTTATTGCTTAACTAGTAAGTATAAATATTATCAAGGAACAGATCTGTGATTGTAACCTTGGCTTTCAGATTTGATTAAAAGCCAGAATCTCTTCAACTCCTCCCTCTGCCCTTTTCTCTGGCACCCCCAGCTAATTTTACTTGCACTCCAGAATCCCACATCCCTTATCTTCACAAAGTTAAACAACCACCTTTCCCTTATCTTCACAACATTACTCTAGCACCCTTTCATACAGAGGTCGGCCTTCTGTAGAGCATCAGTGTCTGCAGCTTTAGAACTTCGATAACTGACAGGAGACAGTGAGAGCCCAAATGAAGGGCATAGGAGGAAATGAGAAGTCAGTCAGTTTATCCAATGTCTTTTTATCTTGGTTAATGAAGCAGTTGATGCTTTTATGCAGAGCTGGCTGGGTGACTTAAGGATCTTTAAGTCCCCTTGCAAGATCCTTCAGGCACCTGGGAGAGTCCATGGATGTCATGCAGCAGCATTTGCTGCAGACTATCAGGCGTTTGGTTGTGTTTAGTAGGCTTGGGTGGTTAGCAGCTATTTGGAACAGACTTGATCTAAAAGACTAAGGAATTTGAAAGTTGAATAGAAAAATGGGGCTAAACCAGTCTTTGCAAGGAATACAAAGAAATTTTTACAAGGAATGCAAAATATGAAATTAAGTTAATGTTCTCTGCTGGATTTTATATCTATTTAACATCAACACATAGCATAGCAGGTGACATCTGGCAGATGAGAGGGCACTTTATTTTGGCATCCGAAAGACCGATCTTCTCTCCAGACTTGTTTCTTCAGGGATTTTCCAAGTGTATGCCTCTTAACTTACCCTGTTGAAGTTGTTGTTAAAGTAACTTGGTAGCCATTTTTGTTAATTTTTCTAAGTTGCTCTGTCATAGAACTAAAGCTTACAAGTGCTATGTAAAGTTATTTTTGACTTCCCAAAACCTTGAAACATCTTGAGATTTTGGAACGTGAAAAATTATGCACTTCAGTTCTTTCTTAAAAGTGAAGAACATTTTGAAATTAAGGAAAATGAAGAGCTGTAAAAACAGGTATGTTTAGAGGATTGTCTCTCTTACGTTTGAAGAGAGCTCTGTTTAGAGCATAAAATACCAAATACAATATGACTAATTATATAAAACCTCAGCTCTTGGAGTCGTAGAGTTAAAAGAACACTTCAGTCTCCTTAATAAAAACTAATTTTTCATCTTCATGGTTTCAGAGGAAAAATCTTAAACGTGACCCATGTCTGTCTAAAAATTCATAAGTTAGCAAAAAAAAATTGTTTTCTTGTTGTTTTCATGGGCCTGATTCAGTCCTCTCAGTGTTTGGATTTAGCAGTTTTGGAAAACTGAAGAATAAAAGGCAAAACAATTTTAAAGCTGGTTTGGCTTCCTTTATCTAAGTATAAGATACTTACTTATTTTACTGTGGGCTGTGGAAGCTTAACAAGTGACACAGACTTTTTTTTTTTTTTCTTTTGCAGATTAGTTCTAATATTTTCAGAACACTTCCACCTAGCGATAACCCAGATTTTGATCCAGAAGAAGATGAACCAACTCTTGAAGCCTCATGGCCCCACATACAGGTATGCGATTCCTTTATTTTCAAGTGTTCTTGTAAGGCAGGAACTGTGAATGGATATCTGAGCACTTTGGTGCCATTCGTGAACATCAAAATTACTTTCTATATGAGTACATTTGAGTGCCTATGTATGAGAAAAACAAAACTGGTGCTCTTTTGTATGTATAAGTGTGGTAGAATATAACTCTTCTCTGAATTGCTTGAGCACTTTCTTCCTTTTTTCCTTTTTTCTTTGAATGAAGTGTTTGAATTGTTAAAATCAAATCTATAAAAAATTTTGATATATGTAGGTCTTATAAAGTATGTGGATATTTTAGGTAATTATGTTCAAGATGCACGTTTTCTGCACTTCAGTGTTCTGTTTTCTGTAAAATATAAATGGAGGTTAATCACTTACTTTCTCACGACAGCAGTGAAAATGGAGCAATAGCTTTTATTTGTCTTTTGAGCAAGAAATAGATCTCCTCATTCCTCTCTTCCCACCCCCTTCCCTCCCTCCCTGCAAAAACTTTACAATATAGGCGTTGTTTGGTAACAGTTGGTTAGTTATTCCATTGTTGCACTCCTGTACCAATCTCGTGATTTTTTTATAGCATTGTTGTATCAGTCGCATGATTGACTTGCACTAATGCTGAACTTTTTTGAATTAACTGTTAAAAGTTGAATAAACCAAAATCACTTATCATCCCTAGGTTGTATCACAGGTAATTCCTTGCTGAATCTGCAAAAGTAGTATCTGTTACATATAACTTGTTACAGAGCAACTCTTACCAGTGAATAGAAGATTAATAGCTACTGCATATCTGCATATCATCTCCTCTCTTCTCTTTAGGGCCTCAAAACGCTACTCTGTGGCTATGATTTTATAGCTCTAATATAACAGAGAACACCTGTATTAAAAATGCGACTTCTAATATTGGCTACAAAGTATGTTTTCAGGACACCGTTTGAGACTTAAACCAGTAAGAAAAAAGTTACTGCAGAGAGCAACTCTGCAGGCTAAAAACTGCAGTAATTATCTCACTCAAACAAAGAATCTGTGGCTGATATATAATTTGTAGAATAAATGGCTATAACTGAAACAGATGGCTTGATTTAGCAGAAGGCAGGAGACACTCATATGCCTCTTAAAGTCAGTAGAGGCATCATCTGCCTTCAGAGTACCCCTGTCTCAGGAGTAACATTTGTAAATGATAGCTCAGTTCACTTTAGGTCGTAAGTAAATATAGTTCTCTCTATAGCAAAAGAGTTGTGGTTCCTCTGAACATCTCAGTTTGTGCTTTAGGCTTGTCTAAGAGAAACTGAATGAAGTGTGTATTCTGTAGTACTGTTTGGGATTTTATTTTCAGCTTTTTACTTTGTCTTTTTCTAAATGAGTTGTGGTCAGGCTGTCTGGCTGTTCGCCACAGATTTTCCTCTGCTGCACCAGTTGCTTGTGCTGCCTTTGGGTTAGATGTGCTCATTGCACCGTAATGGAAACAGTTTGTGTTTGCCTCCCCTTTCTTTTGCAGTTCATGTGTCCACTATTGGATGGTAGCAGACTGAGTTTGGTAACGAATTAATTTGCATCCAGGAGCACAGCTTTGTGCTCTTTAGTATCTAGACCAGGGTGAGAATGTAGCAAACTGCTGGAAGTATCAAATTGCGTGTGTCGGGGTGGGGGGGGGGAGGGAAGGGGCACCCTCATTCCCCCCAAAT